AATGTCCCTAAACAGTTCAAAATAAATCAAAATATTTTGAAAATGTTATCGTGTATAGAAAATACAAATATAAACAACCAGTGAAAATTGCATGTATCTACGTTCATTTGTTTTAAAGTTCACCAAAAACCAAAATCGATTTTGCCTAAAAATTCCCGTTTTTTCTTAAGTTTTTTTTTGTTTTTCTTAGTGCTTTTGAAAATTACTGGGAATTTTAAATTTTGACCTCCCCAATGCACCAACGATGTTCACTTTCCAATCGAACAAGATACTGAAGTTGAAAATCGAAACATTATTTCGACTACTTATCGTGTACCAGCAGACACAAAAATAAAAAATAAAAAAACACACATTATTGTAAAATCAATACATTCATCGTTCCACTCAGAATCTAAAATTATAAAATTAAAAATTAATTAAATAGTATATAGGCTTAACGACGACAAACGCGACAAACATGACTACACGAATACAATGTAAAGCAAAATCTATTTCTACAGAATTTTTTTTTTGTCACTTGGGTACTATTGGGTCTCACCAATTATCCAATTATTATTGGTGACAACGTGGTTTCAATTCTATCATCTATGATTATCCTAATCTTTATCGTTTAGTAACGAGCTACGTGCAAAGTTCACCCAAGAAAGTCCCGTTGGCACGTCAAATTTCAATTGTTGAATTGTCAATGAAAGTACAATATTGAAATTTAAAATTTTCTATTAATAAACTTTTTAACGGTTGTTGTGATGATTGTCTGATCACAGTGATTACACAATACCAACGTGCTCATATATAAAATATTTGGAATGAGATCGTACTTTAGTGGCCAACTTCTGGGCATGGGCGTGGCTTTCTAGGTGTTGGTAGCTTCTCACTATACTATCATTTATATTTATTGTTCTATGATAATATGTCTGACCGCCGCCCGACGAAAACTTATCTCCGCAGAAGTACGATCTCATTCCGAATAGAGTATAGATAATACCCACCAAAAACATATATGTAAAATGAGAGCCAAGTTCAATACTATAATATATGCTTTAGTTCATAAGCGCAATTTGAGGGGGCTAAGCCCCCCCCCAAATGGTTTGTATATAAACTAATTAATCATTGAAAAAAATGTTCAATCCAACAACAATTTAATTTTGAATACTCATTGGAATTTTTCATGTATTTATGCATCATTTGAATCATTTTGATTCAGGTTATTTGAAATCGCAAAATATAATGTAACACTGTAACGATAGGCTGGGGCCACACGAGCGTACATTTCGACGCACGTATTTTTCAGTTCACAGAACAGTTAAATAGTACGACCCTAAATTCATTATTTTTGGAAAAAGTAGTTTCGTTCAGATTTTTTGTGGTACAAGACGTAGGTATGGCTTCGAACGAAATTGTTGCGTTCTCATGTTTGACGTACTTATACTTAAGGAACCAGCAAAGAAGACAATTTTGGGTTCACTCTATATAAACTCTGAACGTCAATTCAGTATAAAATTAAATAATAAGAAAATAAACTTTAATTTGAATATTATTATTTTTATTAAATAAGCTACATTAAATATTTTTTTTATAATTTGTATTTATTAATAATACTTAAATATTTAAAATTATAGTGACAAACATTTCTTAATAAAAAATAATAATACTTTGAATTAATTTTATTACATTAACGAAAACAAATCATAAAACTTTATTTTTAAACATAACCACACCGTAACAAATTGTTTTTTAACTTTTTTAATTCAAATAATAAAATCAGTGAATCATAGTAGATTTTGATAATGATAACCCCCTTCCAGAGTTCCACTATCGTTCGATACATTATTACCTTCAACTGAAAACTGAGAGTAATATGATCCGATGCGCCCGTCGACCATCGTGGGTGGGTGTGTTGTGTGTGTATGTTCAACTGCAACATTGCCAGTGGTGTATTGGCGTATACTCACTTCTCTAGTTTTTTTTTAACGTATATTCTGTAAATAAACGGGGATACGCTGGTATACTTCCTATTAGAATTTTCTGTGATATAAACAAAATGTTCTGTATATTTGTAATTTTCATTTCTCAGATATAGTACCACGATTATAAAGAACAGGTTATGCAACGCGGGCTGGATCGGCGGTCAGAACTCGTTACGCCGTGGTTCCATTAACTGCCGAGCGCTGCTAGTCAGACGTGTCAGATTTTCATTATTTCTAATTATTATATGTAAAATCTATCACAGTTTGGGTATAATTTCACTTAAGTTACCCTCATTTTTTCTTTGAAAGTTAAGTTAATTGACGTTTTAAAAACTATGGTGCCAAAAAAAATTCTCCCAAATCATTAGTTTCGAAGTTATAATCACTTGAAGTTCGCTATTTTCCGTATTTATATACATTTATGCACAACGCTCCATAGTTTACCACGACTTTTACGAATTTATTTATTTTTTTTTTTTAGGAATTTAAGTATTTTAATGAGTGTATGCATAAATGCGGATAATCGAGAACTTTAAGTGACTACACCTTAGAAACACACCAATTTTTTTCACATTTAACACTCATATTTTAAAGGATCAATTGGGCCCCGGGACACCATACAGTTAGTGGGGCCCCTATCAACTTCAAAATAATTGTATCATTACATATTAACGACTTTATATTTTTATATAATTGTTTACTATACAAAAAATATACAGGTTATAATATTTTATGTCATTATACGCTGGTTTTTTTTTTTAACAATTTTGGATCAATGATATGGAATTTCGTTAAAACAAAAAAAGACGTGGTTCCTTATTTTTAACAAGCAATTTTTTCGTACAATTTTTAAACACGCAGTTGTAACAAATATAAAATTTACTTCATTTTTTCAACTAGTAACACAAAGCTTTTTATCTGAACATTTTGACAGTGAAATGATCATTTTTGTTTCTCTAGGTCAGTGGCAACCACAGGAGTTCCTACAATACAGGAATATTTATCAAGTTTCAACTGTCAAATATAGTAAGCAAGACGTAAATTTCATATATGTCTTACCAGGATGAATTCATTTTTGAAAAACCATTGTATTTCCATAAATTATCTGTAATTTTTCGGTAGAAGTGTGATAGACTCTATGAAAGATCTTGAATTAAATTGTCTAGCCTTAGCTATATACACATTTAATATTTTATAAGTTTTGAACTACAAATTAAGTGTGGTTTGGACGAAATTTGAACTTTAAATGCTTATAAAAAATAACCATGATGCCTATGTATCGTTAATATTTTAGCTATAATAAAAAACTTACATATTACATTTTTAAGCTTTTTGACCGGATAAATACTTTTTTATTGACATTTATAGAAAAAAAAGGAAATTAATCAAATACAATCCAAGTGAAGACGGTATAATCAAGCTGGTTACCAAACAATTTCAATAAATTTTCATTTTTTTTTTGCTCCAAGTATTTTTAAAAGCACTGAGCATTTTCAATTTCGACTTCCTAAAAGTACCAACTAGATCCAATTTGCTTCCAAAAACATATAATATACTGGTCATCGAAGCTTATGATCAGAGCATTTTTTCTACCAAAAAGTTACAAAAATTTAAAAATACCTCAAATAAACGTCTGAAATTATTAGACGGTTATAGTATATACTAGTATATAGTAATAACGTATTTATAGTTGGTATGGTTAATTTTGTGATATGTGAGTAACAAAATACAATTCACGACATTTGGGAAGAAATACCTACTTGACCTATTTAGTGCATATTTTGACTGTTTTGGTTTTAAAGGCAATATATTTAATTTTAAAAGTATATTTAAAATAATAAGTCATTTCATGATTTAATTTGTTTTTGTTTTTCATTCAGTTAGTAGTTAGTACTTAGTAGTTGAGAAATACTTGTATATTAATTGTAATCTGATATATAGATAATTTACTTGTTATCGTACTCGAGAGAAGCGAGTATTGCATATTTATGGATTGATGTTTCCCCTAACTTAAAACTTTTTTTCTATGTATGTAATTAATATTAATTAAAAAAAAAATTACAATTACAATAATTAAATAACTTATTTTACGATTATGAATTACCCACCCACCAGTTGAAATTATAGTAAATAAAATTATGATAATTAAAATTATACTCAAAAAGAGATACAATTATTTTATATTTTATACTACAACTGAACATATTTTATAATAAATATTATTAATGTTAGTAACTGAATTATAGTATATAGTAATAAACTTTATTTATAGAATATATCATGGCTAGGTTAGGTTAGGTTATAATAATTTACATGCAAAATGTAACGATATCCTACCAAAAACATATATGTAAAATGAGAGCCAAGTGCAATACCTACTATAATATATGCCTTGGTTGTCGACTTCAACGACAAAAAAAGTAAGATCTAAATGGGTGCCAAGTTAGGATGATATATTTAAGACTAAGGTCTGACCTGGCTACGAATTATATTATAGCCAAGGCATATATTATAATATTGCACTTGGCTCTCATTTTACATATATGTTTTTGGTGGGTATATATATTCCTATATATATATATATTTTGATTTCACTTGAAATGGTCACTCTTTATAAGAGTAAAAAATTTTATTATATCTAGAAGCAACTATTGTTCTTAACTTGTATAACTGATGACTTTCTTTTTTAAAAATCATAAATCATTTTTTGTCACACCTAACCTGCACCGAAAGTTTAGTTTTTAATGACGGCCGAAGTGTTCGATAGTGACCTTTTTCCGCCATTGCTTGACATTTGATTTTGTTACGTATAACCATACACAATACATCGATTTATGGATGTGATGAATCAACCGGAATCAAAAACCAATATTGATTTTACTCTATATCAATTATTATTTATTATTACTTTACTTTTCAAAGTGATAAACCTAATTTTAATCATTTACAAACATTTTTATACTAATAGCATTGCAGTTCTAAAACAAAAACTTAAGTAGGTCTCAAAAACGTGCTCGGCTGAACGACTTCGAAATGACCACTATGCACCTAGACGGGTCCATACCCGTAAACGCTGACGATTGCGTCGACGACGAGACGGCCGTGGACTTAGCCCTGTTCAAGGTCATCGGCCTAAACAGCATTCTAAGCCGCGGGGCCGTGGCCCGCCGGATCCAGACCACTTGCTTGTGGATTGCATGTCTGATCATCGCCATGCAGCTAGTGCAGGTGATCGGGCTGTACACGACAGTCAAAGACCTGCAACGTTTCTCGTCCTTAGCCGTGGCGGCTGTCTCCGAGCTGATGTGTGGGTTCATGGGATTCGTGCTGGCCGCCAAAGCCGACCGGCTGCGGGACGTGCTGGACGTCGCCCTGTACCGGTACACGGCGTGTGTTCACCGGATGCCGACCATCATGCGGCTGTCCAGTGCCTTGGTGTCGACGCTACTCCGGACGTTTACCATGGTCATCTACGGCACGTCCGTCATATGGATCATCTCGCCACTGTTCACCGACGACGTCGCGAAGAGCATGTATAACATAAAGTGGATACCCGGCATGTCCGAGAGCGCGTACAAGTGGCCACCTGTCTGGGCCGCCATCTACGCAACCGAGTTTGTCACGATAATGGTCAACGGTATCTTCGTGGCGATGTTCAACTGCTACCTGTTCTCCGTGTGCTTCGTACTCAGGGCTCAGTTCCTCACGTTGGCGGCCGGGTACGCGACGATCGGCCACCAAAAGTTGACGCTGCGGCGAGATGTAGACTCCGACAAAAGTACTTATTACCTATTATGCTTATATAACTATCAAAAACCTCCATCCATGTTGATCATCAGAGAATTTTTTTAGTAGAAAGAGTATTTTAAGACACCAAAAAAAAAAAAACAAAAACACCCATTGTAAAACCAATAGATTCATTGCTCCACTCAGAATTAAAAAAAATTTGGGAAAGTGGATGTTGCTCTGCTCTGTACAGTAGGTAGCTTACAAGTGGGTCACTGTATAAAATGGATGTTATTAAATCTGAAATCAATGATATAATATTATCATTGTATATTACACGAAAAACGATTCTTAGCGGAGACGGTATGGATACTTTATAATATTATATTTGTATTATTATTACTTATATTTATACGGTAGCCACTAGCCAGTAAGTTCAATTAATATTATGAAATTCTAACAAAATAACTAAAATCATTATTCTTCGTTATTTAATATGTAATTTCGTAAAAATTTAAACATAAAGTAACTATAAAAAAAAATTTGTGTGGTGCTTACACATACTTCCTCGAGACATAATGTTCCAAACTTATACATCATTTAGAAAATACCAATAGAAAAACAATTTTACGGCTTGGAGTCTGGCGAGACTGCTCATCGGTTGAACATCATTTTAAGTCAAAGTGTGAAGCGTTTTTAAATAAATAGACTAAATTATATGCTCTAGGTGCCTCGGTGTATATAGGTCCAATAAGTAAACATTTGTGAATATTGGTCGTGATGTTGCAGATATACACAGAAAGAGCGACGACGGTGATATAGATTCTTTTGAATATTACGAAGAGTTGATGGTTCACATAAAAGATAATCAAAATATAATAAAGTGAGTATAACAATATTATGATGTACATTGCACATTATAGAAATTATATCCGAGAGACTATAATATTATGATGTTGATTTATTAATCGTCTGATTAGGTAGTGAACAAATTTGTATCTTATACCTATATAAAAATTAAAAAATCCCGCTGTGTCACAATGTTTGTTCGAGATGAACTCCGAAACTACTGAACCGATCTCGATAAAAATGTATAAAAGTTATAAAAGATGAAGTTCGGTCCGGCGTATTTATCAGTATTATTTAGTTGTAACCTAACTCTAAGGGATACCTATGTAAATTAAATGAAATGTGAAGTGTAAAAGTGTAGTGAATTTAAGTGAATTGAACCATTTAACTTAAGTAAGTTTATAGTTTAATATCTTATCCGGCACTTTTGGAGTTAGACGTTCGCGGTTTTGGCTACGCCCCCATTTTCCCGTGTGCTGAACAGCGTTCTATATGTACAATGTACTATATGTATCTATCTATCCATATATACCTATATAAATTAAATATCAAGTTCCCTTGGAGGCGGTATCACGCGTAAACGGCTGGACCGATTTCGCTAATTCTTTGATTGTCAGGAGAAGGTTCTTAACTCTTAAGTAAGATGATTTTAAGAAAATCTACCGGAAAAGTAGGAATTCTGGATGTAGGTGCCATCTGTCCAATTAGAAAAGAAACTAAATAATAATATATTTTCGTTTATTGTAAGGTTGCTATAATTGCTATTGGTCATGATTGAATAATGAATATAATTTTAGACCTGTAGTTATATATATAATATTAGTAAAAATGGTATTCCCAAGACTATTTTTTCGACACATGCGCATCGTAATATCAACGTGATAAAAATAGTAATAAAAACATGCGTAATTATGTACTCACTTCAAGAGGTCTGCTGTGGCGGGTTTGATGAAGCATCAAGGAGGGAGGGGCTATTTTCAATTTTTGGGCCTCTCCCACCATAATTAAAGCAATTCAAGCATTTAATGTAATTAAAAAAAGGACTTGCAAAAAAAAATCCAAGGGGATGAGCGCACCCTTCGTCACCCCCCCCTCCCACTGGGTCACTGGATTGCCTACACATAATACATACAATCGTGTCTCTCAGGTAATTAAATATTCAAGATGATCGATGAAAATGTTAAGTTTTGAACATCATAAACCGAATAATAAATAATCGAATTAAACACCGGGTGGGACAGCTAGTAACTCTATAGTTTAGTTCATATCTGTGTAGGTATAAATAATCTTTTAACTTCGTAATTTGCCAAACGTGTTAATATAATTTGTGCTTATAGGAAATATGATGAATTTTTTGAAATTGTTCGGCCTGTTATCTTAACCCAAGTAATTAGTAGTTCGATTTTAATTGTTGAATTAGCGTTTCTCTCTGTACATGTGAGTATTTACATATTGTATTTTTTTTATGAAACAGAATAATATAATATTAATTGCTAAACCATGATCGTTTTTATGCTGAAATTGTATTTATTTTTTAATTTAGATGTACGTAATGGGTGAGTCAATAACATCTGTAACATTTTTGAGATTAATGGCTGGTCTTATCTTTACTATTATCCAGCTCTATATTTATTGTTACAGTTTCAATTGCATTGAAATCGGGGTAAGAAGTAAGAAGATATTAATATTAGCTTAATATATTATAAACATTTTACATATCATGTTTGTGTTTTGGGGATAAATATATAAGGCATAACACTTACGATTTTTATATATGATTAAATATTAATACAATGAACTGTAATCACATGAAATTAATGGAAAAAAAAATTTAAAATCCTGAGTTCATAGATATTCGTATTTACTTCATAGCAGAAACATCTCGTAAAAAATTATAATATATAATTACCTAGAGCCTATAAGTACCTCAATATGCACATGCCAAATTGCCAAACTAACTTTTCTAACTTTTAAAATACATCCAAAAATCGTAACTTTATTCAAAATCAATGTATAACTTATTTATTACCACGGTGGTAGGTACCACCCAATTAAATATAATATTATATATCAAGTCAAGTCATAATTTTCAGTAAATGACGATAATTTTTTTTTTTTTTTTTAACAGTTTAAAATTGTTTAGAAATACTGGAACCACCCCTGGGGGGGGGGGATTTATACATAAGTTGTCTCACCAAAAAAATATAACTAAAACCACCACTGATCGGTGAAATCAGGTGTTGATTAAACTGAATATTAAATAACGAATAGAACAAAATTTGAATTATTTTGTTGCTATTTTTAACGGGCAACGAAATTATAACAATTTAACGTTATATTAAAAACATCTAATTTTATATAAATTAATCCTTATTGTGAAAATATTACTCACTGAGATGTTACCTATAATATATTTTGTTAATTGTTATTATTAGAAATGTACGTTGAATTTCGGACTGTATAGTAGTAACTGGACTGAGATGGATTTAAAATTTAAAAAAATTTTATTTTTGGCCATGAGCATGAATTCCACCCACATGAAGGTTATGAAATTGTCACCGAAATCTATCATCAATTTGGAAATGTTTACAAGGGTAAGCACTTGATTTATACTATTAAATTAAAACCACATACCTACATATTATATTAGCTTATAATCAGGGCCTTGCAACTGAATTAACCAGAACCCGTAACACCCTTAAAACCCCTTAAAAAATCAAACACTGGAATAAAACCTTCTAGTTAACCCGAAACCCTAATAATTTTTCATTTTACAATCTTCATGTGATATATCATTTTGTGTATATTTTATGTGGTTTGTTAGATTTTGTAGTTAATTATTAGTTTAATAACAAATATTAGGATATTTTGCAAAACAATTAAAAGTTTATAAAATATCTAAAAAAATAATTATACAAAGTTACTGAACACCCGTATTAACTAACCAGTATAATTACCCTGGATATTAACAGTTATTAACACCAAACGTTTGTTTAAATTATTGATTCTGGTGTTTGGACACCCGAATACATCCCGAAATCCGAATAAATCATTCGAGTACAATGCCCAGCTTATAATAACCTGACATTATAATATTAAATTAACTTAATATTGCGAAGTGGAGTCACAATACATGATTGTGATTTGTGGCCATGTAAGTAGAACATGGCCACGTGTAGCCATGCGTTTAAGATCTCGAAATAAAATAATATGCAGTTTGAGAAGGTTTCCACAATATGTATCAATTAAAGAGTTCGATCAAACTTCGAATTACTTGTTACTAGTTTAACATTTTTAGGCATTTTGAAAATAATTTAATAACGGTTCTCTATAAGTTGTAACATTAAATGTTTTAATTGTTGTGCACTAAAACTATATTAGTCATAGTACAAGTTAAATCAAAGTTAGTTATTATGGCAATCTTAATATTTGTGTCTATTTGTAAATAAATTATTATAAAAGCCTTACTCAACCTTTATTTTTTTCCTTAAACCACATACACATTTTCGTTAATAGTTACATTGGTTGCATTAAACGTTTTTGTTTGTAGGTGATGAAAATGTCGTACAGTTTAGTGTCCGTAATAATAAATTCAATTGAAGAATGAACAGCCAAGATATGAATTTTATTCGAACAAAATTGGTTGAATAGTAATTTAGTATTATATCTGTAGGTATGAGTTATAATAATAATTTAAGCATCCAATCTACACTGCAGTACTTACTTAGTACTTACTATGAGTGTGTGGTAAATATAGTGTAAATAAACACTTCTGGCATCGTATAAAAATTAGAAATTATTTGTTTATTTGTTTTATAACTATAGACGAATTGTCATACATTGAGTTAATGCATAATTTAACAATATATATTGTATAATATACAGATTGAGGTTTGAGATTACGTTAGGTAAAGCCAAAATTTTACATCTTACAACTCTATCAGTACTAGATCTATTAGTAGCTAGCCGGTTCAATCTAGGCCCGGATATTTAACGCACGTAGTTACTCTATTGCAGAACGGTTCATACCAAAGATAAGTAAGAGTGTGGAGACAAATTACTATAGTTTTTATTTTAATATCAATAATAGTTGTTAAATATAATATATAATATATTAATATTAGTTACATAATAATATACGAGTACATTTATTCCTACCGGTCATCATAGATTCTCATACCATATTATATAATAATATATATTATTACCTACCTATTTACCTATAAATATTTGATATGTACCAACAATTATATTTTGTTGGCTTGATCTACCTAGGTTTTTAAATTGTCATTTGTCATACAAAATGACGGACAACGATCGAGCTGCTGGGGTTTGAACCTTAACTATGGATTTTCAATAAGATGGTATTAAATAATTGACAATAAAATATGTCATCCTGAACAATACACTCGATGCATATCGAATATCGATGCAACTACAAATATAAAATATGACGTAGGGTGGTACGTGCATAAAGGAATATTAAATTGGAAAAAACAGTGAAACGTTAATAGTATAATACCAAAATTAATTTCGTGTTCAGTCACACACGGTCTTTTTGACATTTTTGAGACTTTAAAAATACCTATAAATTCAACAAACTATAGATAATTGTTATAAATAGCATTAAATGATAGCTTATATAATTATAAGGGTTAGGGTTTTAAGAAATTGTCTTCAAATTATCACTTTTAATTATTTTATATAGTGATATTATTGGTAGGATAAGTTAAATAGAAGAAGTTACATACGTTTTTCCACCTGTAACAAGAAATAGAAGCTAATACAGTTGCAATATTTTGAGTGGTGTATTTATGAATCAGTTTCAAGAAAATCAAATGTAACAAAACCAGCTGTCTTAAAACAATTTGATACGTTTTTAAACTATATCGACCAAGAATTGGATTCCCCGCCTAGAACGAACGAAGAAATGATCACATTTATTAAAAATGTACGCGACGAAAGTGTAATTGCAAAAAATGATATAAACTTTGTTAGCCAGCTGAAAATGTTTGCAACCAGCCAATTAGCTGAACAATGGGCACAACGATTGAATGGTGGAATGTCACCCGAGGTAATTTAACCTTTAAATTATATCACTTGTAAAATATTTAATGAATTTTATTATTTTATAGTTGTTCACTGAATCCGAGGTTAGACTCATTTCGCCGCCTCAATACTCAAGTATGACCCAATGTATGATGATAATGATTTTTCACAATCACAGGTAATTTATAACTTATATAATATATTGAAATAAAATAAGTGTTAATAATTTTAATTATTTAGGCAGCTGACGAGGAACATGGTATCGATGAATTTTTAACGCGAATCAACCCTACACAGACGACATGGGCACCAATTCGGAAAACAAAACCATTGGTAATACTTATATTTAATTTTTTAAAATAAATATATTTTAACAAAATATTATTTGTTTAGCTTATCAGTCGACCAACGACGAACATAGACACTCTTCCCGCATCGTTTGATTCAGACATTTCACAAGACCCGTACGGATGCATTCAATCATATATAGAACCTTCATCAACGAGCCCTGCAGTTGATGAGAACTACGGTCCAACGTCTTTCAACAGTTTCAACCACTCGCCATCTATTCTCGATTTCACATGCGGCAAGCCCACGAAAAAAATTAAATAAGCGGGATGTAAAACGGAAACTGTTTGAATAATATTGTTTAATAGTTTTATGTGTGAAATAAAAACAAGCGTGATATTTAAAATCAAGTTTTCTCATTGATTAGAAAATAAGGTACTAATAATTACAAGGTATAAAAATATTTACAAGGTATAAAAATAATTATAAGGTCTAAAATAGAGTTATATATAAGGTTTACAATTTTCTAACATCTCCGCTAAAGGGATTGTAAGTTATAATCTGATCATGTAGTATTAAACAATAAGCTGCAGTTTTTTCTGGAATAATTTTATCCGTTTCAAATTCAATTCGTAGGTTCACGGTCGATGATTTAACGTTGTCGTCCTGGTGTGACAAATCAACAATGATGATTGGAACATAATTTTGAAAAATATGTTTTGATAATAATGGTTCACAATAATCTCTTTCGTAATACGATTTTTGAAAGTCTGTATAAGCTTTGTAGAGTATGCTGGTGGTATTATTTTTAAAATCAGCGCGAAAGTCTTCATACGGGAACACTTCAGAATTTAAGTGAACCTTAAGATTTTTTAATTGACAGTGATCGAATCGACCAGCGTCGTTTTCGATATTTTTTTTTCGATCTGTATTACGTAAGAGATTATTGTGAACCATATTATTATCAAAACATATTTTTCAAAATTATGTTCCAATCATCGTCGTTGATTTGTCACACCAGGACGATAACGTTAAATCATCGACCGTGGACCTACGAATTGAATTTGAAACGGATTTAATCCAAAAATCGCATTTTTGGAGTTAGGACAATATTGCGAATTAGGCTGATGATATGTATATTAATTCTAATAAATATTATTGTATACAAAAAATTGGGGTGTACAATTATACGCCATCGAGTCCAACATTAGAGCTCGGATCACCTATATAGGCTATATAGTATTACAGTATAATATACCGACTCTATGTGTGGAGTGTGCGAATAACACCTAGCGCGTCTTCTAAGTACCACTCACGAGTACCTACTAATGTTTATATACGGCTGAAGCTCAAACTTAAGGCTCGGGGTTTTCTGCAGAGACGTCTACATGGTTGCACGTTTATTTCAGTGTGTATTCGGCTATTTCCATATCACGATGCAGTC